GCATACAATTGAGGATAGCACTAGTGTACCTGGATGATGTCATTGTATTTGCAACAACTTTTGATGAGGAAATGTCCCAGCTTGAGGAAGTATTCAAGAGTTTGAAAGGAGCAAACCTCAAACTCCATCCCAAGAAATGTCACTTGTTCCAGAAAGAGGTGCTTTACTTGCATCACAATGTAAGTGAGCATGGTGTGCAAACTGATCCTGAAGGTGAAAGCAGTGTATGATTGGCCAACACCAGACAATGTGGGAGAGTTAAGAAGTTTCTTGGGACTCTTTACCTATTACCGGAAGTTTGTGAAGGACTTTGCAACTATAGCTACTCCACTGCATGATTTAACAAAAAAAAAGGCCAGAAGTTCGAATGGACAGTTTCTTGCCAACATTATTTGAAAACATTGAAGGAAAAATTGGCCTCCACTCCACTTTTAAAGCTTCCAGATCCCTCACTGCCGTACATACTAGATTATAATGCTAGTAATGTCGGAATTGGAGGAGTGTTGTCTCAGAAAGTGGGTGAAAACGAACATGTGGTGGCCTACTTCAGTAGGGTCCTGAGAAAACCAGAGAGGAACTACTGTGTAACATGGAGGAAACTCCTTGCTATAGCAAAGAGTCTGACATATTTCAATCCTTACTTATATGGGGCTAGGTTTACCATCAGAATAGACCATGCTGCATTACGCTGGTTAAGATCAGGTGCCATCAAGCTGAATTCAAAGTGACTGAAGGAGTTGATGATGGTGAAGTGGAACCAGGTATAGATATTAAAGCAGAGCAGGAGAAAAACGAAGATTTGAAGCCAATAATTGATTTTTTACAAGGAAGTGTTTTGCGCCCTGCTTGGGAGAAGGTGTCTAGCTGAAGCCCTGTGTCAAAGACCTATTGGGCACAATGGGACCAGTTGAAGCTTGAAGATGGTATTCTTCTCTGGAGATGGGAAACTGCAGATGGGAAAGTGACGACCTAGCAAACGGTTATACCGAGGAAGTTATGGGAAGTTGTGCTTCATCAATCCCATGATAGTTGAACAGGAGGACATCTCGGAGTTAAGAAGACATTGAGTCACCTACGGCAGAGAATTTACTGGATAGGTATGAGGCAAGATGTGGAAGAATGGTGCAGGACCT